GAGGGTATCCGCAAACCATACTATTTACATGGTTTCGTGCCCCTCCCACACCTCCAGGGAGGCCCCGCCTGAGCGAGGAGGGTATCGGAATACCATACTATTTACATGGTTTCGTGCCCCTCCCAACCCTCCAGGGAGGCCCCGCCTGAGCGAGGAGGGTATCGGAATACCATACTATTTACATGGTTTCGTGCCCCTCCCACCCCTCCAGGGAGGCCCCGCCTGAGCGAGGAGGGTATCGGAATACCATACTATTTACATGGTTTCGTGCCCCTCCCACACCTCCAGGGAGGCCCCGCCTGAGCGAGGAGGGTATCGGAATACCAAACTATTTACATGGTTTCGTGCCCCTCCCACCCCTCCAGGGAGGCCCCGCCTGAGCGAGGAGGGCATCGGAATACCATACTATTTACATGGTTTCGTGCCCCTCCCACCCCTCCAAGGAGGCCCCGCCTGAGCGAGGAGGGTATCGGAATACCATACTATTTACATGGTTTCGTGCCCCTCCCACCCCTCCAGGGAGGCCCCGCCTGAGCGAGGAGGGTATCGGAATACAATACTATTTACATGGGTTCGTGCCCCTCCCACCCCTCCAGGGAGGCCCCGCCTGAGCGAGGAGGGTATCGGGATACCATACTATTTACATGGTTTCGTGCCCCTCCCACCCCTCCAGGGAGGCCCCGCCTGAGCGAGGAGGGTATCCGCAAACCATACTATTTACATGGTTTCGTGCCCCTCCCACCCCTCCAGGGAGGCCCCGCCTGAGCGAGGAGGGTATCCGCAAACCATACTATTTACATGGTTTCGTGCCCCTCCCACCCCTCCAAGGAGGCCCCGCCTGAGCGAGGAGGGTATCGGAATACCATACTATTTACATGGTTTCGTGCCCCTCCCACCCCTCCAGGGAGGCCCCGCCTGAGCGAGGAGGGTATCGGAATACCATACTATTTACATGGTTTCGTGCCCCTCCCACCCCTCCAGGGAGGCCACGCCTGAGCGAGGAGGGTATCGGAATACCATACTATTTACATGGTTTCGTGCCCCTCCCACCCCTCCAGGGAGGCCCCGCCTGAGCGAGGAGGGTATCGGAATACCATACTATTTACATGGTTTCGTGCCCCTCCCACCCCTCCAGCGTCGCGAGGAGGGCATCAAGAAAATGGGTCCCACGAAACCGTTAATCTCTTTATGTGGGGAACTCCGTTAGCATATGTTTTTTTCGATACGAATCCAGAGGCGGCGACAAGGGCCTCCCAGAAGGCCCGAACTGGCGAAAACGAGGCAAGTGTAGCGGCATCGGTACCGTTGTTTCTCTTTCAGCGCAGCTCCTCCTCCTCCTCCTCCTCCTCCTCCTCCTCCTCCTCTCCTCCTCCGCCCTCCTCCTCCTCCTCCACCCTCGCCTCCTCCTCCTCTTCCTCCTCCTCCTCCTCCCTCCTCCTCCTCCTCCTCCCTCCTCCTCCACCACTCCCTGCGCTGCTTCCTTGCTCCTGCGCCTGCTCTGCTTGCCTCTGCTTACCTGCTCTGCACCTGCTCCTGCTCCTGCCCTGCTCCTCCTCCTCCTCCTCCTCCTCCTACTCCTCCTCCTCCTCCTCCCCTCCTCCTCCTCCTCTCCTCCACATCCTCCTCCTCCGCCTGATCCTGCACAGATCCTGCTCCCAGGCTTCCTGCAACTTCCGCCTCTCCTCCTCCTCGTCCCTCTCCCTCTCCTCCTACCTCCTCCTCCTCCTCCGCTTCCTCCTCCTCCTCCTCCTCCTCTCCTCCTCCTGCAGCTCCTCCTAGCAGCTCCCCCTCCTCCCCCCTCCCTTCTCCTCTGCGCCTCCTCCTCCTCCCCTCCTCCCCTACCTCCTCTCCTCTCCTGCAGCTCCCCCTCCTAGCTCCTCCTGCAGCTCCTCCTGCAGCTCCTCCTCACCTCCTCCTCCTCCTCTTCCTCCTCCACCTCCTCCTCCTCCTCCTCTCCTCCTCCTCCTCCTCCTTACCCCCTTCCCCCTCCTCCTCCTCCTCCGCCCCTTCCTCCCTCCTCCTCCTCCTCCCCTCCACCTCCTTCCTCCTCCTCCTCCTCATCCTGCCTCCTCCTCCTCCACTCCTCATCCTGATCCCTTCCCTGGCTCCATGCTCCTGCACCTGCTCCTGCCCTCTTCCCTCCTTCCTCCCCTCCTCCTTCTCCTCCTGCTCCTCCTCCTCCTCTCCTCCTCCTCCTCCTCCCCTCCTCATCCTCCCTCCTCCTCCTCCTCCTCCCTCCTCCGCCCCCCCCCCCCGAACGACCACCAGCGGCGGCGGCCACGGCCGCGACGACCAGCGGCGACGACCACGCCTCCTCCTCCTCCCTCCTCCGCCCCCCCCCCCCGAACGACCACCAGCGGCGGCGGCCACGGCCGCGACGACCAGCGGCGACGACCACGCCAGCCACGACAGGCGACCGCGGCCGCGCCCCAGGGACTCCGGCGGCGACGCGGCGCCAGCCCCGCTGGGGATCGTCGTCGGAGAAGGCCCGGCCGAGGCGCACGGCCGGCAGAGAGCGCAGCAGGAAGCCGGGTCCCGCGGTCGGTGTGCCTGCCTGCCTGGGGCGCCCCCGTGGCTCAGTGAGGGCGTCTTACGCGTGAGGGTTTCGCCCAGGCCACAGGGCAAATGGGCCCAAGAACGGCTGGGCAGACACTCCAGAGGCATATGCCCCAAACCGTGATTTGTTCTGGCGGCTCGGACTGCCTTCTGGGGCCCGCGGGGCCCTTCTGGGCCTTGCTGGGCATCCTGCATGGATGAGCGCAGAGCCAGGAACCCCACGCCACGTGGCAGCGTCCCAGAACGCCCTCAGAGCGCCTTCTGAGCGCTCTCAGAAGGCCGGGGCACCCGAGATGTCCTCCAGAACTGCCAGATCTCAGAGATCCCCGATGTGTCCTGGTCCGATGTTGTTCCCGTCCTGGCTTCGTCGTATCCGTGAAAGTTTCGCCCTCTGCCGCCGGCCCCCTCCCTCTCAGAATGGGACGCACCAGAGCCATGCGGGGATGCCTGGGCGCCGACTTGAAGCAACCTCGGAATCTCATGCGAGGACGGCTGCTTTGGCTGGACCTAGGACAGAAGAACATCCTCCACGAACATGAGACCCGCAGCTGGCCATTTTTTAAAGCAGCAACCACAAAAACGAGGGCACCCTCCCCCAAGATGCACAAGAACATTCGGCAAACACGAAGAACAGAAGGGTCGGGCTGCTGAAAGCAGGAACGATCAACAAGAAACGACGCCCCTTTTTGGCCCCACAAGCGCCTGCGTGCACGAGGAAGGCCAGAGGAAGAGCCACAGAAGGACCTCAGGGAATAGCGGGCCCCTTTCGTACCCAACCTGTTCCCTATTTCAGCGACTTGGCTGCAGGGTACACTTCCCGAGCCGACCTTGACCTTCTACTGATCAGCCTGGAACATATCCCTATCCCTAGCGCTTCATCACGATGCCAATCTTAGGGGTTCCCCGAGTTTTTGAGGGCGCACCCCTGAGATTCTCATCGCCTTTGGGCGTGCCAATCTGAGGGGTAGGGATCAGTTCGAGGCTGGTGATCTACCTCGGCCCCACCGCCCTCGCGACGCCACTTGCGAGCAAGCGTGGCCCCGTCCTCGCCCGCCTCCGTTCCCGCGGCCGCCCCCGGGCGCGGGCCGCGGGAAGCGCCTCTCTGGCAGCCCCGGCGGGGGGGCCCGAGGAGCGCGCCCCCCTCCGAGAAAGCCCCCCGCCGCGGGCCTCTCGGAGGGGAAAGGGGGTCGCCCGCGGTGGGCTCTCGGCTCCACGACTGCCCGCCGCGCTGCCGCAGGGCACGCGGAGCGTGGAGCGGAGGGGCCTTGCTGGCCGCTGCGAACCCGTGCCGCGAGCAAGCGCCCCGACCGAGACTTGCGGACCGGCCCGGGGCCCAGGGCCCCTCCGGAGCCCAAGAATTTCCAGGGGAAGGAGCGGATGGGAGCGGACAGCACGACTCAACACCTGGAGGGGGCATGCAGATACTGCCACCTGCCGCGCACACCTCATGCCTGGTGGAAAGCCAGACTGTGCGACTAGGGACGCTGCACTGGAACGCGGTCTACTTCATCACCGAGCGTGAGGAACAGACGTTCGCAACGCCACAGGAGTGGAGGAGGAAGAGGAAGAGAGGGAGGAGGAGGAGGAGGAGCAGGAGGAGGAGGCGGAGGAGGAGGAGGAAGACGCTCGCAGGTTTTTTCGGGTGGCCGGGCCGCGAAGTGGCGTCCGCCGCGCGCGCGCGCCCCGCGCGGCCGCGGCGGCGCGCCGCGGGCGCGGGCGCTCACCCATCCTCGGCCCTCGCTTCTCACACGCGGCGTATCTTGACGCTGGTGCGCGAGGCCTTCGCCCGCGCGGTCCTCAGGAGCATGGTGTCGAAGTCCGCTCTGGTGGGACACGAGGACCTCCCATTCGACCCAGTGGTGGTGAACGTGCCGTTTTTCTTGCCATCGGGTTTGAGATATGGCCGATATCGCTTCTCCACCTCCTTCTCGTCCGCCGCCGGGACGGGTCCCCACTCACCATGCACGCCCTCCGCTTCCCAGCGGCGTTCTGCGCACGCGCTGCGCTCAGCGCTGTACGTGATGGCATCGCGCTCAACCGCTTCGCCTCCCTCCTACCACGTCTTGGCGACCACTGCGCGGGCCCTCCACATGGCCCTGCTCGTGCCTCCGACGCTGAAGGTAATGGTGCTGTCCTCTATCTTCGCCTCTGCGCAAGAGTAGCTAGCATAGTTCGGCTCAAGTTTCGCCTCGTGCGCCGCAGCCTTCTCGCATTGTCCACCCGCGCTGGGCCCTGCGCGTAGGCCGCCGTCTGGCTCATCCTTTATCTCTTGCTGCAGCTGCCCGTGTTGCTCAAACTGCCACTGCCCGTCATTCTCGCACAAACAGTGTCCGTCCTCGTTAGGCTGCCACTGCCCGTCCCACTTTTCTTGACGCCGCCACTGCCCGTCCTTCTCGCACGCGCACTTCTCGTCCAGCGTCAGCCGCTGCCCCTTCTTCTCGCGCTGCCCGTCTTTCTCGCTACTGCCCGCCTCCTTGTGGCTGACACTGCCTGTCCTTCTCGCACGCTTGGCACTGGCCGCCCGTCCATTTGGCACTTGCGGTCCTGTCCCTGGTGAGGCCGCCACGGCCCGCTCTTCTCGCACGCACACGGTCCGTCTTCTTGAGACTGTCACTGTACGTCCTTCTCGCACGCACGGCCCTGGCCGTCGCGAAGCTGCCACAAGTCCGTCTTCCCGAGGCTGCCCAGATCCGTCCGCTCGAGGCTGCAACTGCCCATCCGCGCGAAACTGCCACTGTGCATCCTGCTCGCGAGCACGGCCCTGGCCCTGTGGAAGCCGCCACTGCCAGTTCTTTTCGCGCGCACAGTGTCCGTCTTCTTGAGGCTGCCACTGCCCGTCCGCTTTAGGCTGCCACTGCCCGCCTGCTTGAGGCTGCCACTGCCCGTCCTTCTCGCGCGCACGGCCTCGGCCCTCTTGGAACTGCCACTGCCTGTCCTTCTCGCACGCACGGCCCTGGCCCCCTTGAAGCTGCCACTGCCCGCTCGCTTCGCACGCACCATGTCCGCCTCCGTGGAGCTGCCACTGCCCGTCTGACTGAGGCTGCCGCTGCTCGTCCCTCTCGCACGTACGGTCGGCGCCACCCTCGAATCTGCCACTGCCCGCCGTTCTCGCACGCGCAATGTCCATCTTCGTGTAGCTGCCACTGCCCGTCCTTCTCGCACGGCTGCCGCTCCCCGTCTGATTGAAGCTGCCGCTGCCCGTCCTTCTCGCACGTGCGGTCGGCGCGCCCTCGAATCTGCCACTGCCCGCCCTCCTCGCAAGCACAATGTCCGGCTTCGTGGAGCTGCCACTGCCCGTCCTTCTCGCGTGGCCGCCACTGCCCGTCACTCTCGCGCGCGAGGCCTGGTCTCTCTTGAAGCTGCCACTGCCCGCCGTTCTCGCATGCGCAGTGCCCGTCTTCTTGAAGGTACCAGTGCCCTCCCTCCGCGCACCCGCCTATCACTAGGTCCTTCCTCCTGGTCCCGCGGCCCCGCCCCTCGTCGTAGATTCCTGTCCACGGGCGACCCCACCAGGCAGGGCTGGAACTGGGCCGCTCGGCCCAGCTCCGCTTGGCGGCAGGTGGCCAGGCGTAGCCTGCGGTCGGCGCGCCTTCGGCTGCGGCTCGCTGCCCTGGGGGGCCACCCCTCGACGATGGGCAAAGATCGCGGCGCGGCCTGCAGCATCCTCGCGCACCGCCGCAGGGCATTCGCGCCTCCTCTGGGCGCTGGGGGCGGTGGCTCGGCGGGACCCGCGCCGCGGGCAAGATGGCCATGGGGTCTCTCTGCCAGTGCCACCTAGGTGGAGGAGGAGGAGGAGGAGGAGGAGGAGGAGGAGGAGGAGGAGGGGGAGGAGGAGGGGGAGGATGGAGGAGGGAGGAGGAGGAGGAGGAGGAGGAGGGAGAGGAGGAGGAGGAGGAGGAGGAGGAGTGACCCTGATGCCTAATGCCATCAGCGACAGCGAGGAGGGGGAGGCCACGTTCGACCAACTATAAGGCCATTGGCTCGTAGCTCGTGAGAGGAGGAGGAGGAGGAGGAGGAGGAGGAGGAGGAGGAGGAGGAGGAGGAGGAGGAGGAGGAGAAGGAGGAGGAGGAGGAGGACGCGGCGGCCTTGCTGGAGAGGGAGCCGGTCAACCCAATGGGCTGCCAACCAGTAGGGGGGAGGACAGTTGTTCCGCTTGCCGCTCTCACCATTGAGTTAGGGAGATTCCTGCGCAAACATGTGCTTAAGAGCCACGGCGTTTCCGCCTCGGTTGCGCGGGTGGTCTCACCATACGCGGGAGGCGTGGCGGTGGCGGGAGCAGCTGAAGGCCCCGAAGCCTTGCCATCGTACACCGCGGAACTGGCGGTGGCGACCCTAAACCCTGGCAAAGTGGGGCTTGCCGCCCTCGGCAATGACGACATCTTGTATTGGAGACTTTGGGCCATAGCTGAGGTGTTATTGCAACGAGGCGTGCATATTTGTATTCTTCCAGGGGCCCGGTTTCCAGCAGGTGCGCGTCTTCCCAGTGGTTTCCCGTTTCTTTGGATAGGTCGCCAAACCTCCGAGTTTGCATCCGTCGGCTTCTTTGTGCTCGAAGAGCTCGCCAGTGTTGTTAGCAGCGTTGACGACTGTTGTGGCGCGCGGTGGCACACTCTACGAATCCGCAGCCCGAGCGTGCAGAGCGGCTCCCAGGTAGTTTACGTTTGCGGTTTCTACGCCGCCCCAGGCGGGGACCGTGATACTTGGGACAACGTCATCCAGGTAAAGAGCACCCTCCAGGAGCGGGACCCGGACAGCTGGTGGTTGCTTGCCGGGGATGGCAATGTGCACTGGGCAGGTTTCTTGGCACATCCCTCCACATGCCGTTGCGGACATTGTAAACAACCTTCTGCCGACCGCGCAATCCAAGCCAGGGTGGCGCTGGCAGGGCTCCAATTGAGGAATCCCCCAGCCGCAACCCACCAGTCCGGTTCCGCGATAGACGTTATGCTGTCGGCACCGCGAGTACCCCTCACCGTGTGCATTCTGCCAGAGTTCATCGCCGAATCAGATCATAAGATGGTTATCGGCAAACTCCCCATTGCCATCGCGTATTCCTATGGTCACAGCACTGGCAGGGTAATGTGGGCATCAGCGGCGGAGTGGGACTTCGCATTGGACAAGATCGCCCCCCTCCTGTCCCGTCTGGAACAAGCAGTAGCCCCGCTGGCTACGGACCCCGTGCTGGCCCCAAATGCGTTCGGCGGCACGGCGCCGCCGCGGACAAGGAGGAAGCTGTTGGATGCTGCCGCTTGGTGTCGTGACGTTCTTCTGGTGTTCGCAGGGCACGCCGCGGGCCTTGTCCGCGTGCGCGCCCCAAAGACTACCTCTTCCTCCAGCTCTGCCCGCATGCCTCCCCGCAGCAGCGATTTTGAATCTTTCGCCGAGTACAAGCAGGCTGCGGCCGACGCTGCCTGGGCAAGACGCAGGGATACCTTCAGAAAGTACCAGAAGTTGCGCGAAACAGACCCGGGACAGGCAGAGCAGTTCTTATCGAAATGGTTAAAAACAGGGAGCGAGTTTTGCGTTGCCTTGGAAGACAAGCAGACGGGGGCTCTCCTACCCAAGGGGCGCATGGTGGAAGAGCTCGTGAAGGACCTCTTCGCCCGCGCCAGCAACGACTTCCCCCAGGACCCCGCTTTCGCTGCGCACTTGGCTAAGCAATTATCTGTGATACGCGCATGCGGCGCCGCCCCGGGGTGCTTGGAGAGCGCCGGCAGGCCCTCCCCCCAACCACCGCCGGACGACGGCCCGTTCAGCAACACCGAGGTCGCCGCCGCCATCGCCCAGTTGCGCCCGGGCAGCTGCGCGCTCGGCTGCACCACGGCATCCCTGCGCGCACGTTCGTTAGCCAATCGTCAGGTTTCGGCCACGCTCGCCAACTTCTCGCGCCACGTGGGTTTGACTTCGTCTCTATGGACCCTCAGGAAGTTTACCCCTATCCACAAGAGTGGCCCTAGGGTGGTGAGGTCCTCCACCTGCCTGCGGCCGATCAGCATCGCGTCTGATTTCGCGCAGCTGATGGACGCTCTGTGGGTTGGCCGTTACTTCAGCAGGATCCAACGTTTTTGCGGGGATGCCCAAGTCGGGGGCGTCTCCGACCCTATCTCGCTCGTTCTCGCCATTTTGCTTTTGTGCGAACTCCGTCAGTATGCAGGGGTGTCGACTTACTTGGCCTTCCTGGACCTGAAATGGGGGTTCGACGTCGCCATTCACAGCGGCATGCTCGTTAACACCTTCTTGGCGGGCGTCTGCGGCAGGGGCTGGCTCTGGATAGAAGACGTTGTCCGCGAGGACAAACAAGTTCTTGAGTTACACGGTCTTCTTTCGCTTACTTTCGTGTTAGCATGCGGGACTGCCCAGGGCCGGAGTTTCTCGGTGCCTCTGTTCAACTCGCTACTACGAAATCTGAAAGACCTCCTAGTTCGGGCGGCCCCGGGGGGGGCCTGCGCTTCCCTCCCTCCCTGGGCGCGGGAAGCGCTGTTGCGTGCGCAGGCGATTGAACCGCCGGTGTCTCTGGATGGCTTGCCCTCGGGAGAAGGCCACCTGCGCGCCTTTGCAGAGATCGTCCGGGCGATCACCGATCACGCGGTTGCGTTGGGTGCGCAACCGTGCGAGCAGGCGGCTGCTGCCCTGGCATCTCTGCCGTGCCTGGCCGACCGCGTCGCCACCGTCGAACTTCTCGGTGATGCGTCTTTGGACCCATCACAATATATCGACGATGCAGTCGCGGCTTGTTCATCGGTAGGTGCGCTTCGCGCAGTACTGGACCAGACCGTGCCGTCGGCGACAGTGCAGTACGCTCAGCAAGCCAAAGCATCCTTTAATTTTGGCACCAACAAAGCTTCTGCCATGGTTATCGGCCTGAGCCCCAAGTTCGATTCCACCGACATGGGTTTCGACACCTGCTCGTCCAGAGTGATTCTAGGGATTATCTTCGGTGCGGACTTGTCTTTTGGCCCCTTCGCGCGGTCGCTGCTCGCACGCGGGAGGGCCCTGTTCGACGAACTCTACCAGGCTGCGGACGCTGGGTGCTTCCCTGCGCCAGTACTCGCCGCCCAGGTGCCGTCCAGGATTGAAGGGGCCATCCTGTACGGAGCCGCGTTCCTTATAGACGTGCCGCACATCGAAACTGACCTGAACAAGCTACAAGCGTACTGGGCCAGAGCGGTTTTAGGTTGCAAGAGAGGGCCGCGCCTTAATGGGGCGTTGTCCCGGGTACAGTGTGGGTGGGGGCGCCGCCTGGGGACGCGGATGCTTGAGCAGGTGTTTATGGCCAGGGCGCGGTTGTGGGTGCTCCCCGGGGGCCACCCTGCAGTGGTAATGCGGGAAGCAGCGCGCTCCTCGCCCGCTCCTTCGTGGTGGAGGCGGGTTGGCAGTATCTTATCCGACTTCCCGGGCGGCCCACTTCCAGATATCATCGACGTCGCCGAGCTCGCAGACCGAATAGCTGCTGCGACGGGAGACCCGGGAGAGAGGAAGGCTCTTCTAAAGCGGTACAAGTGGGATGTGGTTCGCCCAGTACTCCGAGAATATGACCGCCTGGCATACCAGTCTGCCGCCGATCGACCCCTACCTTCCTTTGGCCTTCCTTTCTCGTCTTTCCAACCGGCGGCGGATGATGTTTCGGGTGCGGAGTCAAGGTCGTTGGAAGACGTTGGTTCCTTGCACTTTCGCCTGTGGGCAGTCTGCAGGATAAGCGGGCGCTGGCCACTCCCGGTGCTCGGAGGCGAGGAAGCGCCAGTCATGCTCTCAAGTTGCGGTGCTTGCCCTTGCAAGGACGTGCCAGTTACCCACGCCCTGCTAGCGTGCGTCGGCACCTCCGAGCTCCGCAAGGAGCTCTGGCAACGCACCCCAATGCCCCCCCGCGGATCCACAGGAGCAGTGCTAACTACCCTCTTTGGGCCCGAGCGGGGTCCGGATCACGTTCGTTTCGTGGCGCGCGCGTTGCTACGTTGTGGGCGGGGGAGTGCATTTGCTGACCAATCAGACGCATCGGAGGATTGAGCACCCAGCGGTATCAGTGGGCGCTGTCTTTTTCCAGCGCTCGTTGGCGTGGACAATCCAAACGCTTTCACATGTTGCGGTGCCTGCCAATTTCAGGACGTGCCCATTTCCCACGTCCTCGCGGCGTGCGTGGGCACCGCCGAGCTTCGCAGGGAGCTCTGTCAGCGTACCCCAACCCCCCCTTCGGACCCAAACGGCAGGGACTATATGTCTGCACTCTTTGGGCCAGAGCGGGACTGGACCACGTCCGCTGCGCGATGCGGGTGCTCTTCGTCAGTGGACGGGACGGGGGGTGAGCAGGATGGGATGGCAGTGGAGGCATGGAAGCAAGGAGCTGGGGCAGTGACTGAGTGGGCGGCGGCAGGCCAAGTGTCCAGCAGGACCGGCGGGCGAAAGACCCCGACCGGCTCCCTCCTGGGCCCGCCCTTCCTGCCCTGCGCGCGGCGGCGCGATAGGGCGCGGGGCAGGGAGCGCACTGGAGGGAAACGAGAAACGAGAAACGAGGAGGAGGAGGAGGAGGAGGAGGAGCCCACGCCACTGAGAAGTTCCCTACTCCCGCCATACCAAGGACCGCAGGCGGTGGGCCCGCTCAGACCCTCGTCGACGGGGGCGGCCTGCTGCCCGTTGTTGTAGTCGTAGGGGGAGGGGGAGGGGGAGGGGGAGGGGGAGGAGGAGGAGGAGGAGGAGGAGGAGGAGAGAGGAGGAGGAGGGAGGAGGAGGAGGAGGATGGAGGAGGAGGAGGAGGAGGAGGCGGAGGAGGAGTGAGGAGGAGGAGGGAGGAGGGGAACGAGGGAAGAGGAGGAGGGGAGGGGGGAGGGGTGGAGGAGGAGGCGGAGGGGGAGGAAGGGCGGAGGAGGAGGAGGAGCGAGGAGGAGGAGGAGGAGGAGGGAGGGGGAGGAGGAGGGGGAGGTAGGAGGAGGAGGAGGAGGAGGAGGAGGAGGAGGAGGAGGGAGGGAGGAGGAGGAGGAGGAGGAGGAGAGAGGAGATAGGAGAGAGGAGGAGGAGGAGGCGGAGGAGGAGGAGGGAGGATGAGGAGGAGGTGGAGGATGAGGAGAAGGAGTAGGACGAGGAGGAGGAGGAGGAGGGAGGAGGAGGAGGAGGGAGGAGGAGGAGGAGGCGGAGGAGGAGGAGGAAGGGGAAGGAGGTGGAGGAGGGAAGGGAGGAGGAGGAGGTAGTAGGAGGTAGGAGGAGGAGGAGTCGGAGGAGGTGGGGAGGGAGGAGGAGGAGGAGGAGGAGGAGGAGGAGGAGGAGGAGGAGGAGGAGGGGGAGGCGGAGGGGAGGAGGAGAGGAGAGAGGAGATAGGAGGTGAGAAGTGAGGAGAGAGGAGAGGGAGGAGGAGGAGGAGTGGGTGAGGAGGAGGAGGAGAGAGGAGGAGTGAGGAGAGGAGGAGGAGGAGGAGGAGGAGGAGGAGGGCCCCTCGAAGGCCTCGGACGCCCTCGAAGGCCTCGCAGCGCCCTGCCGCGCCGCAGCGGCGTGCTGCCGCGCGGCGCTGGAGGGGCGGATGGCCGAAGGCTCGAGGGGCTCGGGCTGGAGCTGGGGCTTGGGCTCGGGCTCAGCCTCGAGCTCGGGCTCGGGCTTGGGGGCGACTGGCAGACCGACCACGGAGCTGGTCGTCCGGTCCAGCAGCGGGTCGCTGCGGCACCGCCGGCCGCGCCTGGGGCGGGCCCGGCGTCCTCGTTGGTCGTCGTCGTCGTCGTCGTCGGTCGTCGGTCGTCGGTCGTCGGTCGTCGGTCGTCGGTCGTCGGTCGTCGGTCGTAGGAGGAAGGAGTGAGGAGGAGGAGGAGTAGGAGGCAGGATGAGGAGGCGGCAGGAGGCGAGGAGGGAGGCGGGAGAGGAGGAGGAACGAGGAAGAGGAGGAGGAGCAGGAGGAGAGGAGGGGAGGAGAGGATGAGGAGGAAGAGGAGGAGGAGAGGAAGGTGGCGGAGGAGGAGGAGGAGGGTGAGTGGAGAGGAGGAGGAGGAGGAGGAGGAGGGGAGGTGGAGGAGGAGGAGGAGGAGGAGGAGGAGGAGGAGGAGGAGAGGAGGAGGAGGGAGGAGGAGGAGGGCGGGAGGGAGGAGGGAGGAGGAGGGGGGAGGAGGGGCGGAGGAGGAGGAGGAGGAGGAGGAGGAGTGAGGAGGAGGAGGAGGAGGAGGAGTAGGCGGCGGAGGAGGGAGGAGGAGGAGGAGGAGGAGTGGGAGAAGGAGAAGGAGGAAGAGGATGAAGAGGAGGAAGAGAAGGAGATGAAGGAAGAGGAGGAGGAGGAGGAGGAGGAGGAGGAGGAGGAGGAGCGACGAAGAGATGATGACGGTGATGATGATGATGCTGATGATGATGATGATGATGATGCTGATGATGCTGATGATGATGATGATGATGATGATGATGATGATGATGATGATGATGATGCTGATGATGATGATGATGCTCATGAGGATGAGGATGATCGCACGTAGCTTCCAGCAACGTCTTCTTTGTCTCAGGCCATTAGCGAGCGATTCGCCGCAGCCAGCACCTCAAGGTGCTCCGTGCAAAGTGGATGAGAGGTCGATCCAATTGACCGCACCCTGAGTTTGTGGTGAAGTTTGAACGCCAGGGCGGCGAAGAAAACTGCGCGCTCCCGCGAGGTCTCCCGGGAATTCTCGTGCTCTTCACCGAGCCCCAGACGTGTGATGACAGAGTTGGGGAGGAAGGCGCGGGGAAGGGCGACGAGGTGAAGCAGGCGAGGGCAGGAGAGGCAGCGAGAAATCGAATCAGGTCCCCCGTCGCACCCAAAAACGCACCCCCGCTGGCCCAGGATGTGCATTCTGCGGGTGGTGATCCAGATGATGATGCTGGTGATGCTGCTGATGATGATGATGATGATGATGATGATGATGATGATGACGATGCTGACGATGACGACGATCATGGTGATGATGCTGATGTTGATGATGATGATGATGCAGATGATTGATGATGATGATGATGATTATGATGAGGATGCGATGACGATGACGATGACGATGGACGATGCGAGACGGATTTGGGGATTTCTTTTATGATGATGATGTATGATGAAGATGATGAGATGATGATAAGTTGATGTGATTGTTGATGATGATGATGATGATGATGATGGGGTGGGGGAAACAAACTGATGATGCTGATTATGCTGATGCTGATGCTGATGATTGCTGATGATTGATGATGATGCTGATGTGATGAGGAGGAGGATTGGGGAAGGGGATGATGAGGAGCGATGATGAGAGGAGGAGGAGGAGGAGGAGGATGGAGGATGACGAGGAGGAGGAGGAGCGAGGAGGGAAGGAGGAGAAGGAGGAGGAGGCTGAGAAAAGAAGGAGGAAGAGGAGGAGGAGGAGGAGGAGGAGGAGGAGGGGTGTGGAGCAGGAGGAAGAGCGAGGAGCGAGGAGGAAGAAGAGGAAGAGATGATGAGGATGAGGAGACGAGGAGGCGGTAGAGGAAGATGAGGGGAGGAGGTGGACGAGGAGGAGGAGGAGGAGGAGGAGGAGGAGGAGAAGCGAGGAGAGCGGAGCGAGAACGAGGAGAAGGAAGATGAGGAGGTAGGAGGAGGAGGAGGAGGAGGAGGAAGAGGAAGATGAGGGGAGGAGGAGGACGAGGAGGAGCGAGGAGGAGGAGGAGGAGGAGAAGCGAGGGGCGAGGAGCGAGAAACGAGGAGAAGGAAGAAGAGGAGGAGGAGGAGGAGGAGGAGGAGGACCGAGCTCACGACCTCCCGAGTGCTCCGTGAGCTACGTGCGCCGCCCTCGGGTGGGCAGCCACGCGCCGCGCCGTGCCAGCAGCACAGCAGGGCCCGCCGCGCGCGTCGACGGACGTGCTTCCTCTCTCGCCTGCCCCGTGCCGCCACCCTGTTGTGCGACCTTGTGACGGGCTCCGCCGCGCGCCGCGCGGCGTCTTGTGATGGAGGAGGAGGGGGAGGAGGAGGAGGAGGAGGAGGAGGAGGAGGAGGAGGAGGAGGAGGAGGAGGACCTTGTGACCTTGTGACGGGAAAGAAGGACAAACTGTTGTGCGACCTTGTGGCGGGAAAGACGGACAAACTAGTGAATCTAAAAAGCGACGCTTGCGAGATCAAGGCGAAACTAGTGAATCTAAAAAGCGAAGACGATGGACGTGTTTCCTCTCTCGCCTGCCCCGTGCCGCCACCCAGTTGTGCGACTGAGGTTCACCTTGACGAGGGTAGTAGATTTGGGTCGGGCTTAGGATGTTCCAGCCTACTTTAGCCTTGGCCACCAGAGAGGATTTCGAGCACCAGGTATGCCGAAATTGGAGGGTTTTCACGTTTTTGGGCTTGTGACGGGAGAGACGGACAAACTGGTACATCTAAAAAGCGACGCTTGCGAGATCACCGAGAGCATAACCGTGGATCGCAGCAGGCTTCTACGGCACTCTTCGTGGCACATTGGGAACACATGCAGAAGCAACAGGCTGTGCGCCCAGCTCCAGGCGCATCCTACGAGCGCGCATCCCAAGCGTCGGCATATGTGCACTGCCGCCACAATACACGCCCAGATTGCCAACAAAAGACAGGAAACAAACCTTTCAAGTTCCCAACCCGCCGGACATTACAAATACGGAGCGTGTTGTCCTGGAATCTCTGGCTCCTGCGCCCTCAGATGGAATTGGTCCCACAAGCGACATATTAGACACGTTGGTTTCCAAACCGTTCGATTTTGTCACAGATGTTCCTCGTGACCCAGCACAAAAAGAATATGTTTGACCACCCGTTGTTTCAGAAAAGTGTCATTGGCACGTTGTGGGTAGATGCACAAGGTTGGCAGTTTCGATGGTTCACAAGATACGGTTGGCTTCCTTCAAGACCCCTGGTGCACATATATTTGTACAGAGTCTGGCACAACGCTGCACAATAACCAGCAGGGTCACACTAAATCGGCTGACGACGGCGACGACGACATCGGCGACACCGCAGTATGTAGCATGGGAGCGGGTAAAAAGTCTACTGTCGAAGGATGTCACTCACACTGCAGGTCCAGGCTGCGAGGATCAGTCACCCTGTGCGGCGTCATACACACATGAATGTGTTGTTGAAGGGCAGCAAGACATTGACGGTGAAGGCGCTAAGCAACAGTAGTACGCCCAGGTCCTCGCCGACAATAAACAGCTTAAATTCAATTTGGTTCTCGAAATTTTGTAAAGGGACGGGTACGAAACCACCGACTTCATCGCCAACCACCTTTTCAAAAGCCCCGAGTACAAAGAATGGTGTGTGGTTCTGCACTCAGCTAGTGCACGATGACATGCCACCGGAGGCAAGACGGCGATCGCGCTCTCAGTTTATTCGATAGTCACCTCACATATCACGTCGGCGATTGCTACTTAGGTGGCACATGCATTCCCGATGAAGTTCTGTCATCCGCCATGCAAATATGGTTCGACATGACTGATAGTTCCCACGCGCATGACGATATCGATTGTGGACTGCGGGCGCTTCGCGTCCGGTGCCTCCGCCCACCCCTTCCCCCTGCAGTGGTTGCTCGCCGGGGCGGCCCCCTCCTCCCCCCTCCGCGCATTCCTCCTCCTCCCCTCAGCCCTCCTCCTCCCTCCTCCCCTTTCCCTCCCCCTCCCCCCTCCCCTCGCCTCCCCCCCCCCCCCCTAACCATCCAGGCCATCCTACCCCCGCCCCAGTCCTCCTCCCTCTTCCTCCTCATCACTCCTCCTCCCCTCACTCCTCATCTGCTCATCCTCCTCCTCCCCCCCCCCCTCCTTCCTCCCTCCCCTCCTCCTCCCTCCTCCTCCTCATCCTCCTCCTCCCTACATCCTCCTACTTCCTGCTCCCCTCCTCCGCCTCCTCCCTCCTCCTCCTCCTCCACCTCCTCTCCTCCTCCTACCCCTACCTCCTCCTCCTCCTCCTCCTCCTCCCCTCCTCATCATCATCCTCCTCCTCCTCCTCCTCCTCAGCCTCCTCCTCCCTCCTCCTCCTCCGCCTCCTCCTCCTCCTCCTAAGCCTCCTCCTCCTCTCCTCCTCTCCTCCTCCTCCTCCTCCGCCGCTCCTCCTCCTCCTCCTCTCCTCCTCCTCCCCTCCTCCCTCCCTCCTCCTCCTCCCTCCTCTACCCTCCTCCTCTCCTGCCTACATCCTCCTCCTCCTCTCTCCTCCTCATCCTCCTACTCCCTCTCCTCCTCCTCCTCCTCCTCCTCCGCCTCCTCCTCTTCCTCTTCCTCCCTCCTCGTCCTCCTTATCCTCCTCCTCCTCCTCCTCCGCCTCCTCCTCCGCCTCCTCCTCCTCCTCCTCCTCCTCCTCTCAAGCAACTTGGGCTCGAGCGCCATTTTGGCATCCGACGCCCAACCTCGCGCCTCCACGTGGTGCTTGGGGGGCTGCGCACTTTCTGTCCACCCTTCGGACGGCCAGTTGCGTAGGCGAAAGCGAGGCTTCGCCCGTGGATTCATGGCAAAGGCATGGAGTACATGTGCGAAGTGTGGTACGTACGAGTACAATGAGAGGATTGTGGCCAACTCGGGGAAGTGCACCAAGTGCCATTGTCCAGTCAAATTGTATAAGCCGAAGAAAGGTCCCGCATCCTCGTCCACTCAGCCGTCCTTGCAGAATGTCAAAGGGTCGGTCGGGTCTCAAGTGACATCGACTACGTCTACCATCCAGGCGCTGTCCGCCGCGATGGCCAGAGTCACCGACCCAGTCAGTCGCAA